AAATCTACTTGCCAAAATATCTGCAAATATTTTGTAATCCACATTTAAAAGGGAGATGGGACGGTAGTTCTTCAGTTGTGTCTTTTCAGCTTCTGACTTTGGTATCAATGTGATAAACGCTTCCTTCCACGAATCGGGTGCCCTCTTCCCCTCCATAATTTCATTGCTAACCTCCATCAAAGGTTGTATCAAATAGTCTTTTAGTGTCTTATAATACTTGGAGGTCAGCCCGTCTGGCCCTGGAGATTTGCCGAGTTGCATGTTCTGAATAGCTTGTTCAATCTCCTGTCGTGTTATTTTAGAGTTCAGGATTGTCCTATTTTCTTGTGACAGTTTAGATAATCCATTTTTGGCAAAAATTGTTTAATCTCACCTTCGTCTTGCGGCCCTTGGGTATATAGTTTTTAAAATATCTCTGGAAACACTTTCTAATGTCCACTGGATTCTGGATGTTTCTTCCATCGACCTCTAAATTTGTAACCGTATTTAATCTTTGTCTTCTCTTCAACTGCCAAGATAGCAGTTTTCCACATTTATTCGCCGACTCAAACGTTTTTGTTTCATTAATTTAATCTTCCATTCAATTTCCTGATTTATCAATTTAGAATATTGTGTTTGATACAGTTTAATTTCTCTCAGAGTTGGCTGTGACTTTGGATTCACTCTTAATTTCTTCTCTAATTCTTTTATTTTATCCAAAATCTTGTCTTTTTTCTCATTTTGTGTTTTTTTCTTTGCTACATTCTGTTGTATCAGGAATCCCCTCATGACAGCTTTGCTTGCGTCCCAGACGATTCTTTTTTCCACCGAATTGTTCATGTTTATCTCGAAATAGTCTTTCAAAACTTTTTGGGCCTTCTTGGTAATTTCCTGATCTCTAAACAAATTGTCATTCATCTTCCATCTAAAGGATCCAGTTGGTAGTAGTGTCATATCCATCTTTACTGCGTTGTGGTCAGAGCAGGTCTTTGGGCAGATTTCCACTTTTCTAACCCTAGGTGCCAGGCCTCTAGAGATCCATATTTGGTCGATTCTTGTCCAGGTCAGTTGGGCTTCAGAAAAGAATGTTCCTTCTCTACCTAGTGGGTTTTTTTGTTCTCCAAATGTCAATCAAGTCCATATTGTCAGTCATTTCAAAAAAGGTTTTAGGTAGTCTGCCATCTTTTGTGACATTTTGACTTTGCGACTTGTCCATGTTAGTTGACACGACCCCGTTCATGTCTCCCATCATTATGATGTTGTTGTAATCCAGATGATCCAGCATTGTCCCCTGCAACTTCTTGTAAAATTCCGATTTCCCTTCATTGGGCGCATAGATTCCTAATATCAGCAGTTTCTCTCCTTGATATTGTATCTCAATAGCCAAAATCCTTCCATGTTCATCTTTAAATAGAAATTTAGGTGACAGGCTCTCTTTTGCATATATCACCACTCCTCTCTTCTTCACTTTGTCCGACGAAATAAATTCCTGGCCCAATCTTTTATTTATTAACACTTTTCTGTGGAGCCTCGTCACATGTGTTTCTTGTAAACAAATAATGTCCAATTGTTCTTTTTTTAATATATGGAATATTTTCTTCCTTTTCTCCGGAATATTGCAACCATTAATATTCCAGCTCAACAGTTGCAGAGACATCCTGGATCTGTCTGGTTATTTCTCCCGGGGTGGTGTCTTCTCTGGGTCTTCAAGCTCCCCGGGTGGAGGTATTGACGCTGGCTTTGCCCCAGGCCCGGAAGGTAGTTCAATTCCTTTATGTAGGTCCTCTCCGTATGTAGCCAGAAATTTATCTCTCTCTTCCAATGTTCTAATTTTGACCTTTCTCGCTCTAAAGGTAAAAGATAATCCTTGGGGAAATTCCCACCTGAATGGAATTGCGTTGCTCCTTAGTAGTTTAGCAAGTTCAGAGTAGGGGGCTCTAAGGTCCAACAGTTGTCTTGGGATATCTTTATATATCTCAATTCTTCTATCCAAAACCTCCAGTGACTTTTCGTAATGTAGACCCAAAATCTTATCCCTTTCCTCCTTCGATCTCAATGTAATCAAACAATCCCTGGGCCTCTCCTTCTTTATAAATCTTCCAAGTCTGAAAGCTGACACGATTTTAAAGTCCTTTTCTTCCAAATTCCAGAACTTGGAAAGTTCTTTGGTCAAAAACTCAGTTAGATTTCCTTCTTCTGCCTCTTGTAATGATCTAATCCTCAAATTGTTCTCACGATTTCGCAGTTCTATCATAGAAAGATAAGTCTGATGTTCCCCAACTTGTTTAGTGAGTGGTCTTACCTCTTGCTCTAAATTTTCCAATTTTTGTCTGGTATCCTCAGCCAATTTTCGATTTTCTACTGAGGCCTCCGTCAACTGTCCAATTGCTTGTGTATTCTGTCCCACCTGTGTAGTTAATTTGTTTAGACAGTCTGTATTTTTATCAATCTTTGCTGATTGCGCATCTACTTTCTTGTCCAAAGCTTCCAATTTTTCAAAAATTTTTTCTAGCACAGAAACAGATGATCCTGAGGCCATATCTTCCAATTGTAACTGCTCTGCTTCACCCTCTCCCTCTTTTGCCTGTGGCAAGTCAGCTTCTTCAAGCTGTACTTCTGAGGGCAAAGTAGGCACAGATGATCTACGTGTCTGCGAGGCTGAGGTTAGATTTGTTAGAGTTGTTTGTCTAACTCTTCCTCTTCTTCTTGTACCACTCATTCCAATGTTATCTATAAGTCAAGGTCACACTGAGTTTTTCCCACAGGAATAGAGAGGCCCAGAGCAAGCAAACAACAAGGGAATCGAAAGTAAATGTATTTGTAAAGTCACTGTTTTAATCCAATCCTCTAGAGGGAGCTTAAGATGTCTTTCAGAGTCTGATTTAATGTCCCAGAACCTTCCAATATAAGTATTAAGCAGAGTTTAAAAGTAATCACTTTGTTGCAGACAGTGCTTATTTGTCTCCAAAAAGAATGTTTCAAATTTAAAAGGTCTCAATACCCTCAGATTGTTGCAACTTCTAATATACAGTATCCAAATCAACACTGACAGCTCGCTCTTACAGTGCTCAAGCAGTCCTGACTCTGGGTTTCACCTTCCAATTTGTAATCCAATAAAAGGGGGAAAGTCAAGTACAAATAAAAGATCCAAATCTTTAAATTACTAGTTTTACTTTAAATTGTAAGTTCCATAGATGCTTGGCTGTGTAGAGTTTAAAGTCTCTTTCTTTCAGCCTCCACTCCTCCGCCTTAGTTGCTTTTTTCCAAGTTCAATGGCAGCGGAAGACGGACTTCCTGTTTCCACGTCTCTCCGCTTTCAGCCAAATTCAAGCCAAATTTAACCTTCTCATTTAAAATTTGTAATTCCAAGTGATTCAGTCTTTACTCACGAGTAAGTTGTTTTCTTCCAGGTCCGAATTTTAACAGGAAAAGGGATCAGCGCTCACCGGCAGCAGCAGCGCGGCTTCACTCCGCTGACTGTGAAACGGCTCACAGCGCCGCAACCCCCCCTCCCCGCTCCGGAGCCCCTTACGAGGCTCCTTCTGCAGTTGGAGGGCTGCTCTTGGCGCCCGCCGAGCCTCAGGACCCCAGGCTCTTGCTGCCTGGGGTTTTCCTCGTTGGGTCTCCGCTTCGCCGTAGCGGACGACCCGATTTCAGCGGAGCCTCTTCTCCCGTCGGGAGAAGACCGCCATTGCCGTTCGCGCCGCCCCCCGGAAGCCCTGAATGTGTAGATTCCATATAACTGTCAGGGATAAAAGCTATCAATAGGCCTATCGCCCATAACTTTGTCTAATCTCTTTGCAAAGCTGTCTGTGTTAGTGGCTGTCACCACGTCTTGTGGCAGCAAATCCCATAAATTCATTACATGTTGTGTGAAGAAGTACTTTCCTTTGTTTGCCCTGAATCTCCTGCCAATCAATTTCTACGTGAATTGCCGTGTAGTAATAGAGCTTGTTCTATTACAGTCCCAGCACGATAAATTTGCTGTACCAGCAAATGAGAGGCTGTTTCCCTTTCCCAGTGGTGTGTATACCTTGGGAGCAGCATCTGATGGGTCAGAAGTAATAGGGAAGTGAGGATTCCCAGGTAAGATCCGCCCTCTATTGTGTGGGCAGGTAATCCCTCCCCTACCTGGCCTGGTCTCCTTGGCAACGCTTCCCCCAGGTGGGATTGGACAACTGACTGAGGTAGGCGGAGACCTCCAGGTATCCCACCTGAGGGAAGGCAAACCAAGCCTATGCTGTTGGAGCCGCTCCAGATCTAGGGGCTGCGTGCGTCCACGCAAAGGGCGCCCCCCGTTTTAAGCGGGGAGCGGTCATTCCCCAGATATGTTCTTTCCCCGCTAAAGGGGCTAATAAATTTCTTTATAACTTCAAATGGGTATGAAGTTGAGCTAACCTTATTATTGCAATATGACAGAAGGTGGTATTTGTGTGTGTGTGTGTGTGTGTGTGTGTGTGTGTGTGTGTTCTTCTTTCCATTGAACATCTGGAGAGATGACTTGTAGGATGAAAACAAACATAAGCTCTCAGCCACCTCAAATGTAAGCTAAGTACAACAACTCCACCCGCTGTCCCATAGCATCCCCATCCATGAGAATTTCACAAAAGTTTTCTCTCCCCATGTTTAATTTCTCATTAATTGATGAAGAATAGTTTTTTTTAAAGCAGAAGATTTTTTGGGGACAGAGCATTAATATCACACAAAGAGGAGCCTGGCAATGGACCAAGTTATCACCGAAACGATCCAATGAGGCTGTGTGTAAGATGCATGTTTCCTCAGCATGACTTCTCTCTGTTATCTTCTTTCTCCTCCTGAACTAGCGCTATGGCTAACCCCATTCTATCAATTAATAGTGCAAAAGATGGCATCAAAGAAAATAACAGAACATGTGACTAGATGATACTGTCAACTGAAGGCAACTTAGGGAAATGACAAATGAGGGAGGTGAAACAAACCTGCCAAACTTCATTGCAAAGGGGTTCAGGAAAATTGTCAAAATTACCAAGACAATATTCTTTGCTTTCAGAGATTGCTTAGCTGGTAGAGCTTATGACTCTTAATCTGCGGGTCATGGGTTTGAGTCCCACATTGGGCAAGAGATTCCTCCATTGCAGGGGGTTGGACTACATGACTCTCATGGTCTCTTCTATAGTAATACACATCCGGAGTTAACCATGGTTCTGATGTTGCTATGAACTGGCTTACCTTGACCCGGTTTGACATACTTGGACTTGCATCAACGTGGCTGACTTACACCTGCCTACTGGACTTAACTTACTTCAGTGGTAAATCTGCCTGCCTCAGACTATCCTTTCCCTTGTTGGTTCAAGCGGAGGCTTCCCAGTGTGTTGCTTCCAATGTGGAAACAAGGTTTGCCAGTCTGAATTCAAAAAGCAAAGGAGAAAGCTGGTCAAAGAGAATTTGAGAAGCCTCTCTACATTTGGAGCACCAGTGATGGGGGAATAGCTCTTACATCGCATTGTGGAATTACATGTAGTGTGTACTTCAGCCCTGAGAGGGAGTATTTGTACTATTTGTTTCTTTTGAACAATTGATCTAGCTACTTCATTTCCATATAGCTCTGTTCGATCACTCTCTTTGGAGGATTATGTTGGCCATCAGGCAACCTGTTGAATCCCATCTTGTGGAAACATGGAGGTGGGCATTCTCTATGGTGGTGCCTATTTTTGTGGAACAATCACCCCACAGCAGGCTCCAACAGGTAAGTGTTTCTGTCATTTATGGAAACCTAACCTTTTGACCCAAGTGGTTTGTGACCATTCATGCCAGATTTGAAATGCCTCCTGTACTGTTTTGCTGATGCTTTACTGTATTGCTGTGTCTTATCACGGTTGCCCTGTTGTTTTATTGTAGAAATATACTCCACGGTTGTAAACTACACTGGGATTTTTAAAATGAAAAGTGGTTTAGAAATGTTTTTCTTTCCAGTAAGAAAGTGAAGCGGTTTTTCAACACTGCTAAAAGTGTTCATAAAATGTGATAAGTGGTTTTGGTCCCAGTCTTATTCCCTCCCTCTGCAGTATGTCATTGCTAAATGAATGAGAATTTACAATTTTCTCTCTGGCTCTTAGGATGTGGATGGCTGCCAAACAGCTCCTGAAGCTTTGCTGCTACTGCTGCTTGCTCACTGGCTGCTAGAAAGTCCTAGGCTCCTTAAGCACTCCATGGTGTCAGTTGCCATTAAGATGAGGAGCCATAATTTGAACTTTCCTGTTCAACTTTGTGCCTTGATATGGCATTCAGCCACACTTTCCTGGTTCCACAAATGTTATACTGTAAGGTTTGGAAAATGAAAATTCCCATTAGGTTAATGAGAGGCTGGGAATTCTTCAATGTGCATTTCTCCAGTCTCTGCCTGCCTATTCCGATGCTGCTGAATTAATAACAATTCCGCAACTTAATTTAATCAGAACTTAATTTGCACCCCAATCACCTTGATTGAAAACCCATAGTCCAAATTTCCATTTTAAAAAGTGCACGGACTTTCATTTGCATTAGCATCACATTACATTTGTCTAGTGGTACATGAGTGTGTTTGTATACATCTGTCAATAGCAAGACACTGTTATTCTTTTGCTAGTTCTTAGAAAATGTATAGGCTTGTCTGAAACACAGTGATTCCAAATGTAACATTAAAGGTAAAGGTAAAGGTAAAGGACCCCGATAGTTAAGTCCAGTCACAGACGACTCTGGGGTTGCGGTGCTCATCATGCTTTACAGGCCGATGGAGCCGGTGTTTGTCCACAGACAGTTTTTCTGGGTCATGTGGCCAGCATGACTAAGCCGCTACTGGTGAAACCAGAGCAGCACACGGAAACGCCGTTTACCTTCCCGCCGGAGCGGTACCTATTTATCTACTTGCACTTTGACGTGCTTTCGAACTGCTAGGTTGGCAGGAGCTGGGACTGAGCAACAGAAGTTCACCCTGTTGCAGGGATTTGAACTGCCGACCTTCTGATCAGCGTTCTTGGCAAGCCCAAGAGGCTCAGTGGTTTGGACCACAGCGCCACCCGTGTCCCTAAAACATCAGCTTCACAAATTGTTCAGTTTGCATGCTTTGAACGATCAGGATTCAGGGCCAGCTCTGCATGTAGATTTCAGCATGCAAAGCATTGCACAAATCTTGTTGTTCAGTCTCCTGTTCCAATACTACATAGAAGGTAAAAATGTATATATGGAAAACCTGAATGTAGCTGTTTCACAATAACAGAACTGAACTTCTTTGAGAGAGGTGGAAGATAACACATAGCTCCACACATTAGGTTACTATGGTCATGTCATGGTATCCAAGCATTTTTCAAATTCACTTATCCTCAAAGTTTGAAGAATATGGACATTATCATTTTGCATATTGTCATGCTGATGCTGATGCTCACCAATGCATTAGAATGACTGCAGAATGATCTTACCTGCAGCCTTGCAAAGGGTGCATTTGTATAAGAATGCACTCATCATGGTCCTCCATAGTTTAGACATGCTGGCCACATGATCTGGAAAGCTGTCTGTGGACAAACGCTGACTCCCTCAGCGTGAAAGTGAGATGAGCGCCACATCCCATGGACTGGACTGAACAGGGGTCCTTTACCTTTACCTTACAATCAGCCCAGTATTCATCAGATAACAGGAATTGCCACACCTGAACCTGTCAGGCTAGCTTGGTTGTTTTCAGATGGGGAACAAGCCTTGCACTGTGTTGGCTATAGGAATACAACAAGTTGCCTTGTTTTAAGTCCAACTTGATCTAGCTTAGTATTGTCTACGCTGCTTTGCCATGGCTCTTCAGGTTTTCAAACAGGGGTCTCTCCCAGTTCTACCTGGAGATGTCAAATCTTGAACCTGGGACCTTCTGCTTGCAAAGCAGATACTCCACCCCTGAGCTGCAACTCTTGATATATGTGGTGGTGCTGGGGTAACCTGTTAAACCTCTCATCCAGCAAGAGTGAAAATGTAGATAGAAAGTACCCACACACGTTTCAGGTATACTTCCACATGTTGTCTTAAGTGGAGCCTTGAATAAAAAAGGTCAAGAGAAACATCTGCAAATCAGTACAGAGCCAAGGCCAATATCAAAAATAATACTGATCAGTTGATCTCGTTTTCTGCATTCACTGCATGTCCCTGCTTTGTAACATTCTTTCAATGCAAATACAAATGCAGCTGCTGTTTAGCTGAGCCTTGGATTGCTTAAGAAATGTTTTACTTTTTATCAATCTATTTTGGAGGGGAGGGGTGGCAGGCTGTGAAGCTTTATTCAAGTTCAATTTCTGATGCCACCAGCCCTGCAACAGTTCACAAAGCCACCTGCAACACAATTAGAACTTAAATATATAAAAGGTATGGGGAGGTACACCATATTAAGAAAGACAAACTAGATTCAGGAGTCAGAAACCTGTGTTGCTATCAACAACTTAAAAGACTCCAGAGGGTAGTTTTTTATACACTCTGGCTTCCTAGACCCTAACCCTAGACCCTAACCATAGCCTCTGGTATTAACCAGTTTAAGGGGTTGCTGTCTCAAAAGTTGACCTCAACCTTTTGGCACCAGCATTCTCCACCTCCTTCTCCGACAGAGCCAAGGGTTCTTCAGCAGGTCTCCCACTGGAGAGCTCCTCTAAGTGATTCTTAACTCTAGTTCCAGAAGATGCTGCCTCCTCCACAAGGTTATTGATCTGTGGGGTGCTGGTCATGTTCCAAGGACTCAGTGTCTGGCACCAGGTCTGGGCTAGCACCTGACTAGATTCATTCAGCTCTTGTTTTGGGGAAGAAGATAGTGGACATGGTGTTTCTGAGCCAAATCATTTTAAGGGCATAAAGGAACATCCTTGGCTCAACATCCTCACAAACTGACCCTTTTAATGAGGATTCTTCCTTTTCAACCTTCCATTGAGTGAGTTATTTCCTCCTACATGCCTGACTGGTTCCTTTCTTCTTGCCCATCTCCATTTTCCAGCCTTCTGTTCTTGGGCTTCACCCAGGGGTTTTCCTTTGTCACTTTATTAAGTGCACATTCAGTGGATTAACATCTTGACATAGTTTCTAGCCATCTGCTATTGGGAAACAATATTTAGAGCAATTGTTAAAGCCTAGTTGAGATAAGTCCAGTGGGAATTCTGTTTCTGTAATAGTGTTTGTCCTCTCAATATTAGCAATGATCACATTACCATAACTAATTAAATGGAAATGTCTGGAGAGTGTTATGGTGCAGGTCTTCATAAATTGGTCAAAAACATTATTAAATATATTAATCATCAAGAACAAAGAAGAACAAGTCTTGCTGAAGAACATGGCTTCTCAAAAGGTAACAAACTCACTAACTTTTCAGAGTTCTTTGAGCATAAGCACATAAGTCACTTACATAAGTCCCCCCAAAAGAGGTGTGTGATGGGTCAGGATGAGACAAGGCAAGCTATTCCAAACCCTGCTCAGCTCAGTCATGTGACCAAAGACTCATACTTCAAAACTGAGATCCACATTCACCACAATCTCTTTCTCAGAGGCTCCCAAGTTTGGAACTGGGGCAATTTATGCTGGAATAATTTAAAATGTCATATTTCACAGCTACCCTTCAAGATTCACACTACTCTGAATTTTGTGATACAGTTCTACAACAAAGTAATACATACAAAAAGGCACCCACTAGGGCAAAGTTTACATAAATAGCCATGTGTATATTAGTGAAAGTAACAGACAAAAATGAATTTTACTTTGCAAAACTGGTTTGAAGAAATGTGTAAATTAGGCAAAATTGCATTAAAAAAATTTATATTAGGATGAATTATTACTAAAATGTTGATGGATTTTCATGAGGTCTTTTTTTTTTTTTTAAGTTTGCAAACCAATGTGGAAATGTGGAGAACTGAGAGACTGGAAAAACAAAGATATAGCAAAATTGACAGATCAACCCATCCATAGTTAGAAGCAAATGTCAGCAAAACAACAATAACAACAACAACCTTACTCCCTGGGAAGTTTATTTAGGATTGGCTCCATAATCATGCATTATCACGGACTGGAAGCATGAAACTTCATAATCTTACCTTATGTTAATTAATAGAAACTAGTCTGGCTTCTTCTTCTTCTCCTCCTCCTCCTCCTCCTCCTCCTTATCATCAGATTCCATTCTAAAATCTGCCAGTAATATTTTATTTCTTCACAATTAGATAAAAATCTTGCCCAACATGTTTGGCTCTATTGCCATCGTTTCAAAGGTATGCTGATATTTGTAACTGAAAAACAGCAGGATATCTAACATCAGAAATGCGAAATCACATTGGCACTGAAGTGGCTCGAGACCGGTGAAGAATGTGAAGGTGGAGATAACAGAAGTAATAATGCCACTTCCTTTCTGAAGTCCTATATGTGGGCAGAAAATGCTTGTCACTTTCCCTCTTTCATATCCTGTGTGTGCCATGGCTGCGAGAAAGGTCTGTTTGGAGTACTTTGGGCTTTGATTTCTGTTTAAAGGATGAAATTGGAAAGCTTGTGGACTGGCACAATCAGGTCATTCATTTCAAATTTAAGCACCTCTCTCTCTCTCTCTCTCTCTCTCACACACACACACACACACACACACACACACACTTATGGCTCCAAGACTGGGAAAGAGGATGGGAGCATGCGCGTTCAGTGCACTCACCCCCAACATTCATGCTTTGAGCAAAACAGTCTAAAGGAGCCTCACGGACATGATTTAACACAGCAACTAGTTGAAGGGCACTTCCAGGCTCACTATTTTCGAGTGAGTTTCAAGCAAGGGCAAGGCAATCCTATATGTTGGAAGCTGATGGAAAGTTAAGCCGTGGCTAAGTACGTCCATTCCAAACTCCATTCTGGAGCAGAGCTACTGCTGGCCGAGATGGCCAAATCATGGCAGGCAGGAAAGAAGCCCTTGAATAGTGTTTGAGTCACACCACACCTTTTGTCAGTTTAATTTATACCACGTTGCCAGGTCACATAACCTAGCTGAGCGGGTCTTCTCTCTGGCTGCACCCCCATCGCACTCCTTTTCCAAGGCTTACTCAAGATCCACAGGGCTCAGCTGAGCTGGGATGGGGGAGATACACCTGCATATCTCTGGCTGAGCTGAGGATGGAGAGTTTTGTCACGGCTAAAAATTGGCCACTGTTTCTTTAATGCTAAAAGAACTAAGTCAGCATGAGTCAGTGGCCTACAATGACTCATGCAACCTTTCACCAAATTGTACCTGTATATATAGAGTGGTCAATGTTAGTGTTGGGTGTGGGTTGGTTGGATGGATGGTAGAAAGCTGGTTACGTTTGGTTTGTGTAAAAGCTGTCGGTTGTGGTTGGAGAAGAAGACTTGTTAAGAATAAAAGCAGCAATACTCTGCAAGAATACTCTTTCTCAAAGACTCTTTTGTGCCAACTAAGGTCTGAGGACTAGGCAAAGGAATAAAAAGGAGGTCAGAACCTTTTCTTTTTCAAACACTGACAAGTTGCACCAGCATAGTCCTGCTTTGCCCGGAACCTCCCAGGCCAGCCAGAGGTCCACTGGATTCTGACTCTGCCAGTCGTGGTGCAATCCTGTAGCAAGATCCACCAGGATGAGCAGATTCAGATTGTGTAATTAAAGCTGATTTGGAGTGCAAACTTCCTTTCCCGTAAGATTCAATTTTTCTGTGTGATCAGGAGAGTGACAGGCAAATGCTGTGTGGAAAGTGTGGGGTAACACCTCCTTTGATGCAACCATCTTCTACCCTTCCTGCAAACTAGTCAGAGCAAATGCTCATTAAAGAACCAATGTTGTCTAATCTTCCGGCAAGTAAATCAGGACGAATGCTCAACAAACAGGGTATTGGGAAGCACCCTAATAAACAGATCATTCAGTATGTAGTAGCTAAGCAAATATCAGCATACTGCTGTTGTGGTGGTTTTTATGAGGCTGTTTTGCTGCTTTGTTTCACTGCTAGTTTTGTTTTTAATTTTGCTGTAATGTATCTTTTTATTATAACTCAACTTGATTTTGATTTTATTGTTAAGTGGTGAGATATAAATGTTCTAATAGAAGTTCTCTTCAGGTGGTCAAAAAGGTGTGTGCAGGAGTGTGTGTGTGCCTGTGCACACTGCCACAATGTTCTCTCTTATACAAGCTGAGCAGACCCACACCCACTCCAACCCCAACCTTTCCATCTTGTCTGCGAAGGTCAGGGGAGGGCTTTGCAGTGTGTTCAGATGAGCAATCAGGGTTCTTTTTCACAAGGAGAAATCTGAGTGTTTTCAATTGAACATACTCTAAAACCCTCTTCAGACCTCCCTCCCCACAGATGGATAATAATAATAATAACAACAACAACAACAACAATAACAATAATTTATTTATACCCACCCATCTGGCTGGGTTGCCCCAGACACTCTGGGTGGCTTCCAACAAAATATTGAAAATACAAGAAAACATCAAACATTAAAAACTTCCCTAAACAGGGCTGCCTTCAGATGTCTTCTAAAAGTCAGATAGTTGTTTATTTCTTTGTCATCTGATGAGGGGGCATTCCACAGGGTGCCACTGGATATATCTTAAAGGCTCAGGCAAACCAGACAGCTGTATCTGGGCATCTGAAATAAAACTACAGTTACATTAGTTGCATGTGTTTTGGAAGGTCTCTTCCAACTCTTCAGTTCTATGATTTTATTATTCTATGAAGGATCCATACCAGTGAAACCACTACCAAAATGTCTTTATCTGTGGTATCATCTGCTTCACCTCTAAAGGCAAAGGCAGAGAAACGTGGTCTTCTAATCAGGATCTCAGCTGAAGGATGAAAGTGGGTGAAAGTTTTATGTGGGTGAAAGTGATCCCTTAGATATTTTGGTCCTAAACTGTTTACGGCTTTTATCAGTTAAAACAAGCAATTGCGAAAGGAAGTGAGGA